AAAAGTATTGATTTTTATTTAAAAATTACTACAGATAAGAATCATCTCACAAGCGAAATATGAATCTAAAATCTTATTGTAGGGGACAAGACAGGCTGTACCTACAGAGCCACTAGACAAAAGGAAAGTGAGTCCCTGCTTGAGAATGAAATGCAGCACACTCCCAACCCTCAGTGATAATTTATCTTTATTGTTAATTTACCAAGAAACAATTTACTTTCAACTAATAACATAATAGTGGCAGCTCAAAACTACTCAGAAGTGCTGCAAAAGAAAGGCATGGTGATCTTCTGCCATAGATATTACACCTAACAAAACCCTCTAGTGCACAGTTCTACTATGTAACACACAGGGTCGACTTGAGTCTGAATCAACTCAATGGCAACAGGATAAGTTGCAGCAGCTAACACTGCCTACTTAAGGACTGCAAGCAGAAAAGTGTGGCATGGTCTTAGCATGGTACCATGGCATTTCCCAAATCTGGATGATATGGAGTTCTCCATTAAGTCTGGTTCCTGAAGGATTGTCTAGAAAAGGACTGTCCTGCTGCTCAGATCACAGCATGTATGCTAGAAATGACTTCCTATTATGCTTGAGAAATTATACATTTATGAGTTTACTGCTATAGCTACTATTCTACCCCCAAAAGCAACTAACCATCCTGGATAAATGAGAATATATCCTATAGTAGATTAAATACTCTTGGCACCAGCAGGTAGAAAATTAAAAGACATATTGCACTGGGAAAGTTTGCTGTCAGAGACCTCTCCAGAGTAGTGAAGAGCAATGATGTCAGTCTGGAGACTAAGGTGTACCTGATACAGGCTATGGTCTTTGCAATCACTTGCTATCCATCAGAGATCTGGCCATTGACTAGGGATGATAGAAGGAGAATTGATGCCTTTGAGCTGTGGTATTGGAGAAGAGTATTGAATATACCATGGATTGCTAAAAGTACAAACGGGTTCATCCTGGAGAGAGTGAAATACTTGGAGGCAAGGATTCTGAAGCTTTGTCTGACATACTTTGGACATGTTGCAAGAGGGACCAGTCCTTGGAGAGGGACATCATGCTTGGGAGAGTGGAGGGACAGAACAGCAGGGAAGACTCTTGATGAGACGGATTGATTCAGTGACTGAGGTAATAGGGGTGGGTGTGTCAGAGGCAATGCGATTGGCACAGGATAGAGCAGGGTTTAGGGCTGTTGTACATAGGGTCGCTATGAGTTGCAGGTGACTTGACAGCATATAACAACAACAACAGATGAAAGAATTGAGCTGATGGCAGTGGGTTTGGTAATATAACATAGGAATAAAGAAATGACGTTGACAAACAGGTAATAAAATATGTCTAATGTGACTTTTTCTACAGAAGAGTATTTCCATATAAATATTTTACTTAAATAAACCTAAACTTTATGTTTATTTAAGACAAACACTGAGGATTTCCATTTGACCTATGTTGTCAATAGCATAAATTTCAGTGTAAGCAGTGTAACTGTTATAACTATGGTATTTTACTGAACTTCTAAAATTAAAAATTTCATAAAACAATCTTTTCTCTCTTGATAATTTTAAATTTTCGCTTGTTATCATGAGTTGAGGACAGCTTATGTAAACCAATTGCTTAATAAATTATGTAATCTTACAAAGAGAGATTAGAATTCACAAAATAGATAAAAAGAAGAGACTATTTTTAAAGACAACGTAACATTTTGTTTTCATTAAATACATACAATGAATTATGATATAAAATTCAGAAAACAACAAATGTTTCACTAAAACTGGTGAGCAGGAAGGGGACTATTTATTCTGTTTAATTATTGTCAATGTTGCATTTTTTAAGTTGTCTTTTTAACATTCTGAGTTATTTTTAAAAGTTTCTTTTTTCCAGATGGAAGTCTTGTAGCATGATTAGTAATATGGATGTCTTGATAATACCGTGTTTGAAACAGCAGCAGATGACACGGGCTGAGAAGAGTATATGCTGTTAAACAGGTGAAGCTCTGTATCAATTTTTCAATTTCCAATACAAGATACTTAGCAATTGGTAATGCTGTAATCCTTTAAACATGCAATAGAGAAGACTTTTGAAGGTCTGAAAACTGGCTTTATTTTTCATGGCCCAGAAAGTAATGTTTATGTCAAACAAGTCCATAATAATAATGACAAATTACACACTGGAACTGGAACACAGTATATTAAATTTTAGCTGGTTAATACTTGGAAAAGCTGATGCTGATAGGAAAAAAATTTTCTCAGAGATAACAGAATAAATCAAATTATCCTTTAAACTTTGTCTAAGGATTTAAGACTTTTAAGGCTTTCTTCTTAAAAAAAAAAAGAAGTGACTTTCTTCGGCCTCTTTAAAAATGTTATTTTCATGTTTATGTTTTTTTACATTAAAAATATTTATCTTTAATAATCTACTATCACTTACTGGCAATATAAATAATTTTATGCTTTTCAATCATACTGATGTCATGTTCCAGTTGCTTCATTTCTTCTTCAAGCTTCTGCTTGCGAATCTTCTTTGGGATGGAATCTGTGAACACGGAGAGAGACTGGAACTCTTTATGTACCTCCTCCCAGTTCTTTTTCAATCCCTGAAAATGATAAAGATGACTGTAAATACTAAAGTAAGTTGCAGATTTAAAGTAAACTGAAATTGGTCAAGAAAATCATATAGACAAAGGGAAAAGTCAGGTAAAGAAAACTGACCAAAACATGTATTACAAATGACATTATTTATCAAATACTTGGCCAGAGTAGTAATAATAAAATACTGTACAGAGGCCAAACTCTGTCCTTGATTGTGAGCTCAATTCCCACTGGGAGTATTTATTTGCTCTGTTTTTAATGTTACTGTACTTGTTTCCCCACCCCCTCATCAAATACACATTTGCAGAGCTATGAGAAGTATGAAATTAAGCTCATAGCAAATGTTTTGGTTAAAATGGCATATTGGAACTGATATATATCCCCAAGTAAAAATATTTTTTGAACAGAAAATACTTTCTCATGAAAAGGCTATATTTTTCTTCAGAATTTACTTTTAAAAACATTATCTTCATTCTTCAACAAAGAAATCATAATAAAAGAGTAATTTTGACTTGTATGTTTTACTTTCTCTTATCTGGCACGATGCAGTTACAAAATACCAAAAGGAAATGTTTTGAGATATTTTTATGTATTTTTTCAATACATTATAGAGAAATCTTCCTCCATGTAGTTGAAGAATATATACTTCCCCAAAATGTATGCTAAAAATGACAGGAATGTCACTAAATGCAATTCATATATTAATTCAGCAGTCTAATTAATGTCTTACATAATCAGAAATCAACACATTGAAAATCAGGAATCCCTTAGGAGCAATAGATCTTTTCTATGTTTACATAATTATTATTTCTTATGGTATGCTAGGAGCCACATTGCCAAAATGGTTTGAAACTAAACCAAACTCGCTGTTCTAAAGTCGATTCCAACTCACTGCGACTCTTCATCAGCTTTCTGAGGCTGTAGATTTTAATGGGAAGAGAATTATGTAATAAAATTTTATATATTGGTGTTGTTATGTATCTTTGAGTAGACTACAACTCATAGCAACTCTAAGAACAGCAGAACAATCCGAAGACCTTGCCCAATCCCTATCCTATACCATCATCGTAGTCTGCAACATGCCTGAACTTATTCTTACAGTGTTATTCCATTTCAAGGAGGGTCTTCCTCTGACCCTCCACCTTGGTGTTTTTCCCAAGGACTTGCTCCTCCTGATAACATTTTAGACGTGAGTATGTGAGATGAATTTTCACTCCTGATGGAGCTACTTCCAAGACAGATTTGTTTATTCTTTTGGAAGCCCCTGGTATACTCAGTACTCCTCTCTAGCACCACAACTAAAGGCACTGATTCTTTCTGTCTTCCTTATCCATTATCAAACCTTCAGATGCAGAGGAAGCAAATTAAAATATCATGACTTGGAGCAGGTGCACAATGGACCTCAAATAGACATGCCTGCTCTTTAGCACTTGGAGAAGTCCTTAACAGCAAATTTTCACAGTATAACACATCTTTCAATTTCTTGACTGTAAAATGAAATAGCTGACAACTTTAGTCTTTTCTCAGTTTATCAGGACGTATTCTAGTGGTGAGGATTGAGATGTAATTCATTGTAAAGACTGTAGTCTTTAATCTTCAGGAAGTATTTAAATCTTTTTCACTTTCATCAAACTAGGTTATGTTATCTATATAACATAGGCTGTCAATGAGTCTTCTTTCAAACCTGATGTGACATTCTTCTTCATATAGTCCAGTTTCTTGAATTATTTGCTCAGCATACAGATTAAGTAAGTATGGAGAAAGGATACAATCCCGAGGCATATCTTTCCTCATTTTAAACCATGTAGTGTTCTGTTCAGACAATTGCTTCTTGGTCTATGATTAGGCTTCTCATGAGCACAATTAAGTATTTTAGGATTCTCTCTCTCTGAGTTGGTTTCAATTTCATGGCAATGAGTTTTATTTAGTAATAATATTATAATATACTATGGACATTACCCTCTTGGAAAAGTAAAAGAAAAGATTCTTTCATTATTTTACAAACCCTCCCCCAGGTCCCCTCCACCATGTAGCCATCGCTCTAGACTCCTGTCATGAC